TAGGGATAGACGGAAAATAGGCCCCTGAAAAACCAAACTGGTGTTATTAATAATCATTCTGTAATTTATTCATTGGAGAATCCTCTGGGTCCAAAATCAAAACACATTTTCTTTAATTTTTTTCGTGATTGTACCAAGCGTTCCTGTCTGGTATTTTGTGTGACAGTTGCTTGGAACAAATGTGGTGTGGAGACACACACTGACAACAGCAAAAAGTGCTAACTGGTACCCGCAGTGAGGGGGCGGGGAGGGGAGCTGAGAGGTAGGAAGCTGATAACCCAAATGTCATCTGGTATCTCAAGTTGTTCATTCCTTGATATTCCTGATGATAACATTACAGACTGTACCAGGGAAAGCAAACATAATCACTGACTTTGGTAAGAAGGCAGAGGAATAACTATCTTAGAAAAATCATGCAAATCAAGTTTTAAAAATATTAATACCTGAAAAGCCATATACTTACATCTCCAACATTCATTTAAAACTGAGTTGTGGGATATACTAGTTGTATTTGTGTGTGTGTAATGTATGCAAAAACATTTTGATATGTGGACGTTTTATGACTTAAAATATTTAGTGGCTTGAAAATATATTGCAATTGGCCTAAAATTTTGGAGGTGATCTCCCTGTGAATACCTGTGTTAAATTGACCATTTTGAAATTTAAGATTAAAGATATCTCACGCCTATTTCATTTTCTTTTTCAATGTCAGGGACTTTTGCCGTCAGGATGAAAATTGTGATTATTACTTTAGTGTGGATGCAGATGTTGTTTTGACAAATCCAAGGACTTTAAAAATTTTGATTGAACAAAACAGGTACTGTAAAAATTCAATGTCAATTTATTATTAAAATGATCATTTTCATACTGATGTGAACATACTGTAGTTATTGCATGTTTAGTAAATTGAGATAACTTAGTTATGCTCTACTTAATTATTTTTCATTTAAAGAAGTCGTAGAAATCAACCTGAATACCATCTACAACTATTTAATGTTAGTTATAATCACGAATACAATTACTTGGCCTATTTTGCTGTTTAAAGGTAGGTGAAATTATGATATATCTGATACTAAAATTTAGAGTTGTTTTATCCTCTATAGATATTTTTAAAGTAGAATTTCTCAAAACTTCTGACCAAAATAGTTACTGCATACAGAGTTGTAGTCTTTAGTATCAGAAAGAAATTTCAGAGGTACAAATCATCCCACATTCATATTTGTAGCTTTATTTACTATTGAACTAATTATCATTGAACAGTGATTGTTTACTCATTTAACCCAATTGACATGGGAAAAAGACACCATGTATATCAACTTACAATGATACCAATCTTTGTCAATACTACTGCTAATATTACTAATAATATTTTTACTACTCCTGCTGAGAGCTCACCTTTAACAAGTTTTATTAAGTGCCAGGTATTGTAACTACATGTTTTAACACCATTATTTCTCATAATAAATAGAATGTTTAGCAGACAAAATGTTAGAATGATTGTTTTTATTTTGCTAAGTAAAAATACTTGGGAAATATAGTGTTAACTCACCCTATATATAATATCTATATGTATATGTCACTAGAATTTGAGAATTTGAGAATTTAGTTTTTACTTCAAAATCTAAGGCCTCTCTGTAGCAATCTTGTATATACAGCCCAACTGTATAGCTGTGTTATAGATGCTTAGTTTCTAAGTTAACTGTCTATAGGTCATTTTCCAAAGCATATGAATGAGGTTTTGATCATTTGGGAAGGAAAAGCAGTTGTGATACCCTAGAGATATGAGATAGTATATGATTTGTAACTCTTGAAACCTAGTATAGTTCAGTACTGTTTTCTCGAATTTGCATTTTTTTCTCTTAATTTGATTGAAATGCTATAGTGTGTAATGCAGATGTGCTTTTTAATGGTATTTAGATATTTTCATTTTATGGCTCTATGATTTAGGTATTTATTATTATCTTAGTTAACTAATGAATTTATGTTATGTATTTGACATATATCCTCCTTAATATTAAACATTTTCTAAAAGAAATAACAATTCCCTCATAAGGAGCTTACCTGCCATCTGGGGCCCTTCCCTCTTAAAGAGTAAAACTCAGGCTATGTCTCCATGGATTTCTGTTAGTTATCAAAATTTTAGGTTTATGTAATACTTCTGTATCTAAACATGTGGTTTCCATAAGCTATTCACATATGCCAGGAATGTTGCACGATTTAGTAGATTTGACTGAAGGGTAGAGAAAGAGATGCGACACATCTTGGGCATGTGCCTTTCTAGCTTCTCATCAGCTCTTTTTTCTTCTCCTCTTCCTATCTCTATTTGCTCCCTTGCTCTAAATTTTACTACTTAAATTGTATAATAATATGAGTTGTTCTTCAGCTGTCATCTTTACATTTTCATTCACAAAAATATTGAGATACACAGCAGATAGATTTTGGTTTCCCGAATTTGTTGGTTTAACCCTTTTGAGGAGGCAGCTGGGATTATAAATAACAAGTTCTTTTTAAATTAAATATTTGATATTGTCAGTTATTGAATTATTTCCCAAATTAATATATGTAGTTTCTAATTTAGGTTATTATTTATAATATTGTAGGTATTCAAAATAAAACAAAACATGTGTTTCTGATTAATAGTTTAGTAGGAATTTGGAAGAATAAACCAAAATTTATTATTTTGCATGATGTGTGTTTATTTCATTTCACTTTTATGCATGTAATAGAAAGGGCCTGGCTGGCCTTCACAAGATAGAGGTATTGTGAAATAGTTTTTTTTTTGGTGGAGAATAGTTGTTCCATAAATTTGTTTTCTGAAATATTTAAAGGAAACTTCAGTGTTCCTGGGACTAGTTAATGTAATCACAAGTCATTTTTAAAAGTCATGGAAAACTGGAAACATACTTAAATAATTTGAATCCTAATTACAGGAAAACTTGCCTGTTTACAAATGTCTCAATTAATCATCATTCATTTTTTTTCATTCAACAAATACTAATTGAGTGCCTTAAATGCACCAGGGGCTGTTGTTTGCCCAGTGACAATGAAAATATTTGGTTTCATTTACTATAGGTTCTGAAATACTTAAATTTAAATATAATTAAATATAATTAAATAAATAAACTAAAGTACTTTCCTTCTTTTGGGTGTAAGGCGTTTTTGAAAGTCATTTTTATGTGTTCATTGGCATTTTCAATTACTTTTTCCTTTGTTACTCTTTTTTAAGAAATATGATTGAAAATTAGCAATATACTTATTTAAGCAAAGATGTTGGGAAAGAATATCCTTATTCTGTTTTTATTAACTGCAGGTATGTTAAATGAGCTTTATTGTGTTATGTGTCATGCAAAGCCCAAAATACATAATTCTGTGGTAGTTTAAAAATAAATAATTATATGAGTTTTTTTCTCTCTCACTTTCTCTCTTTAGAAAGATCATTGCTCCTCTTGTAACTCGTCATGGAAAGCTATGGTCCAATTTCTGGGGAGCGTTGAGTCCTGATGGATACTATGCACGATCTGAAGATTATGTGGACATTGTTCAAGGAAATAGAGTGTAAGTTACTTGATTTAATATTTTAATATAAAATACCATAATCTAAAGATGTAGTCTTGTTAATGTTACTTGAATTTTTTTTTTGTATTCGTCTCTTTTCTTTGTAGTTAATGGGAATTTGAGAACCTGAGACCACTTGGAATCCTGAAATACCAATATAAACTCACATTTTTTAAAAATGTTTTTAAAGTCCCAGGTCCTCAATGGAACAAGCTCATTGCTTTGGGGAATACTAAGAGATTATATGTGGTTACCATACTCACATTATGGTTGATAGAAGAGTAATACTCCTGAGTTAAAAGTTTGGAAAGGGGATTTTGTCTACTAACTTTTTAATGACTATAATTAAGGGTTATTTTGATAGGTTTTAAAATTTATAATTAAGTCAACAATAATACTGACAGCCAGAAGATTCCAGTATTCCTGATTGCATGAGTTTTTTGTGTGAAATAACTATTATTCTGCTTTAAATATGAGTTTCTTCACCAATATTAGCTTTTCATTTCTAGAGATTGAAAAGAATATATTTGCTGAAAAGTATATGATTTATATTTATTTCAGAGACAATGGTTGATATTTTTAAAACTAATTACAATTGAAATAGTTTTGCTAAAGTAATATTGGTGAAGAATGTCATTCATTTTTCATACATATGATGGACCAGAGTAACTAAGACATTATGTGCTTTGCCTTAGTTCTCAAACATGTCAGCCTGATTAAAAAGAGGAAATACACTCTCTCAGTACTAAAAGAATGGGCTCTTAAATTTAGGGAAAAAAAGGCACATATTTCTTTTCAAGCAGTTGAGTTTGGTAAAAAGATGTGTTGGTTGTGAAAATAGTAAGTGGTGTAGAAAACTTAAATTTGAATTATGTAAATACAATAAAGGTTTTTGATAGCTGTAATTAAAATGCATGGTAGATGAGAAGACACTAGTAAGAGCATATTCTGTTGTTTCAATCCAGTTGTATTGACTCTGTGTGAGTTGTGTAGACAGTATACCTGATAGTATCTTTGGGCACATCCAAAATGAAAGTTTGTGGAAGTAGAATGGAAGATTCATGTTTCAGGTTGCTTTAGGCATTGGCGTTTTTCTGTCCAACCTCCTATCATTGTCGTCTAAAGTGTAAGGAAAAAAATATGGTAGAAGCTTTTGATACGGCATGCTCTTCATGTCCAAAAGCTACATGAAGGAGCAACGTTTTGTGTGTTTGTGTTTGTGTGTGTGTGTGTGTGTGTGTGTGTGTAGGTGTGTGTGTGTATAACTTGAAACACTGAATAATTCCCCAGATATTAATTTCTGAATTTAGCTGATACATTGTATACAGCAGTTCCCCTTATCTGTGGTTTTACTTTCCATGGTTTTAAGTCAACTGTGGTTTGAAAATAAGAAGATATGTTGAGATAGAGAAAGTGTAAACATTCATTTGATTTTTATTATAGTATATTGTTATAGTTGTGCTATTATTGTTGTTAGTCTTACTGTACTTAATTTATAAATTAAACTTTATTATAAGTATGTTTGTGTAGAAAAAAACATAGTCCTCTATGTGTAGGGTTTGGTACTATCTGCTTTCAGTCATCCACTGGGGTCATGGAATGTATCACCCTCACATAAGGTGGGGACTGCTGTACTCCTTAAGGCATTTCTCTTTGAGGCTGGTCTAGTAAGACACAATATCATATTTCTTTTAATATCTAACTATATTTCCTTGGTTAAGATCTTGCCTTAATGTTCTCTGAAAGCAAGGCACAGCCTTATAGGCAAAACTTCTCTTCAAGTTTTTATGGAGTCTTGTTCAGAGTAAGACTATAAATGTGGGAAAGAATGAATTACAAAAGAGCCTCCCAACATTCATATACTCCCAGCTGTATTTCTTCACATTTTCAGTTTTCTGTATAATATTTACGATGGCTTAATGAATGGTAAGATAAAACAATTTTGGAGGATTTTAGGCTATATTCAGTGGTATGCTGGTAAATGTGTAACAACTGGCTTTTGAAGGTGGAAGATTCCCGGATTTAAAGTGCTTGTCCATTTGTTTGGTGTAAGTCCTTCTACCATAGCTGATTTCAAGTTTCCAATGTGTAATTACTGAACATGGACTTGGCATTAAAAGTTAACTCTAGGGAACCAGTATGAGCTGGGTGTAGTGCAGTACTGGTTGTATGTTATGATTCATGCTATCAAATTCTTTAATTTTAAGTAAAAAGAACTTCTGTACAACAGAATATAATAGTCTAACTATAACAACTGTCATATCTCAATTAGTTGTAATAAAAATGCCAATCAGATACCAAACCAAAATTGAAATGTATCCAAAGGGACAGTGGTTTGTCTCCTAAATCTCATTAGCTATAGTGTATGCAATGTAATCACATATATGGGGCAAATATCATTCAATATGTTTGTATATTCACAAATGTTTGTTTATGTGTACAAAGTCTAAACACAAAACCTTTATTTTAAAAATGCCTGGAAACCATCATTCTCAGCAAACTGACAGAAGAGCAGAAGATCAAACACCGCATGTTCTCACTCATAGGCGGGTGTTGAACAATGAGAACACATGGACACAGGGAGGGGAGCACTACACACTGGGGTCAGTTGGGGGGAAATAGGGGAGGGACGGTGGGGGGTGGGGAGCTGGGGAGAGATAGCAAGGGGAGAAATGCCAGATGTAGGTGATGGGGAGGAAGGCAGCAAATCACACTGCCACATGTGTACCTATGCAACAATTTTGCATGTTCTTCACATGTACCCCAAAACCTAAAATGCAATAAAATAAATAAATGGGAAAAAAAAAAAAAGAATGTCTTCTCTTTACTTTCAGAGGAGTATGGAATGTCCCATACATGGCTAATGTGTACTTAATTAAAGGAAAGACACTCCGATCAGAGATGAATGAAAGGAACTATTTTGTTCGTGATAAACTGGATCCTGATATGGCTGTTTGTCGAAATGCTAGAGAAATGGTAAGATATGCAATGATGGCTTGTTTGAATGTTCTTATAAGATGGCTTGCTTTACCAGTTGGTATGTCACTGTGTTTTGATGCCCTTTTTCTTGCTAATTTGTAAGTACTAGCCAATTTTTTTGGTTCTATGTTGAAAATTTGGGAGCAATTTTGGAGATAATTTAACATTTACTTGTAGAAGTGGAATGAAAAATGTTAGTTTTTGTGCTCAGGCTAATTCATAGGCAACAGAGTTGGATTTCTGTAATTAAGATGAATTTGTTACAAATCAACTTTGCTCTTTTAAGAATACATCTTTACTTTAGTTTGAAATTCTGTAGTGAAAATTTGACCTAATTAAAATTAATTAGATAAGCTTTGATGAAATAATAATTCCATATTTAAGACAATTTTTGTTCTAAAATTAATGTCCATATTTTCTCTAACTGGATGAACTTTTAAGAATTATTATTAACTTCACATTCTAAAAAAGCATGATTCTTACTACCAAACTGGTAGAAGGGTTAAGATATGTAGTATATTTACTCTAAATAAAATATTAATGATACATTGCTGTACTACAAATACTTTCATTATAAAACTTAAAATGACTAGAAAATATTTTTTCAAAATGTATAAATATGTTTTAGAACATATATATATGATTTTTGGTTTTAGAAATGATAGGGTATTTTATTTTTGATTTCCAAATTTATACAAGCAATTGTGATTTCAAGAAAAAATCAGAAAAGTTGGCAAGTATTTTTTTCTCAGTTTAACAAAGCATGTGTTGTTTGAATATGTTTGTTTTCTCTACAAACCTATGTGCATTGTTATTATTGAATATCCTCAGTACTTGTGATTGTATTTTGTGCTCATGTTTGGCTAATTTGACTTGACAGCGCATCATGGAATGGCCTCTCTTACTCATTTTTTCCTTTGTCTTATGTGTCTAATGAAAGTTCTGCTACGGAATGAGCTTAGACTTTGTTTGACCCCCACCCCCCACACCCAAAAAAGGAAAAGAAAAGAAAGGGCTGAAAGAGCTGGAGATGTTTCTTTGTGTGTGCTATAAGCTTTGCTAGTTCTGCATGTTGTCTGTGAAGGACATTTCAGAATGTTAGCTTTTGATCAACAGCTGCTATTATTTTTATTTACCAAAGAATACCTGAGAGAGCAGGTGTACAGGTCAACTTACCCAATGCTTCTCTTCATTTTAGACTTTACAAAGGGAAAAAGACTCCCCTACTCCGGAAACATTCCAAATGCTCAGCCCCCCAAAGGTGTTATTTTTATTTCTTTTTGTTTATTTAATATTTGATATAGTCTGTTGCCTAGCAGTAAAGTTTCTTTAAGAGCCTTATTTGCATTTAGCTTGGTAAAATGTTGGTATTCATCAGTTAGTCATCTGTTTGTGTGTGTGTGTGTGTGTGTGTGTGTGTGTGTGTGTGTGTGTGTGTGTGTTATGTGACTTGGGCATGGGTCTTGTGTGACAGTCAACTCTTGGTTCTTTGGGCTGATTTATATTTTATGGTCGACAGATGAGAAAGTTAAACCTAAGTCCCTTTCATTCTTTTTTTAGGTTTTTATTTCTTTTTTAAACGGAGAAAGAGGATAGAAGTAGGTATAAAATAGGATTTGATTACAGTAAGGTTTAGGTGCACTTCATTGAGTTATTAATCACTAACTCTTTTACCATTAAAACAGGTCCAAAAAGAAACAACCTTACCTTATGGTGTTTTCCACATTTGTCTGGTTTGGGGCAAGAATATGAGACTGTTTTTTTAAAATCTACCTTTTTAATGCATGACTCATTTGTGTTAGTCTTTAAACATTGGAAAAAGAAAGGAATGAAACAGACTGGTGAAATATGACTGGCAGTGAATTCTTGTTTAAAAATGTGATGCTTTCTCTGAAAGGGAAAGAAGCCAAAAGAGGTATAATTCATTGCACTTGTGTCTCAAAAATATTTCTGCTTTCAAAAGGAATTTTTTCCCTGATGTCTTCATCTAGGATCAATGAGAAAGGGACAAAAACAGTTCATTCTTTTTTTCAGTTGAGTGTCAGTTTTATCTACTAGTTTTGTGTGGTGTCTGAATTAATGATCAAAGTTTGAGTTTCTTATTTTAAAACATGCACATTTTATATGAATACTAAAAATGCATGTTCATAAATGAAATATAAAAATGAAAATATCTTCTGTGTTTTCCTATGATTAAATTTACTTTTGTTCCTACCTCTATGATTAATACTGTTATTTTCTGGCATATAGGGTGTGTTTATGTACATTTCTAATAGACATGAATTTGGAAGGCTATTATCTACTGCTAATTACAATACTTCTCATTATAACAATGACCTCTGGCAGATTTTTGAAAATCCTGTGGTATGTATTTCATACTCAACTTTATTTATTATTTTTCTATGACTCTAAGTGGTTGTAAATCAGTTGGGTAATAATATGAAATGTAGTTAGGGGCTTTTAAAAAATGACACAATGTGAAATGCATATCAAAGCCACAATGAGATACTGTTTCACACCAGTCAGAGTGGCTATTATTAAAAAGTCAAAAAACAACAGATATGGGTGAAGCTATGGAGAAAATGGAATGCTTATACATTGTTGGTCTGAATGTAAATAAGTTTAGCAATTTGGAAAGCAGTTTGAAGATTTCCCAAAGATCTTAAAACAGAGCTACCATTTGACCCAGCAGTTCCATTAGTGGGTATATATCCAAAAGAAAATAAGTCATTTGACCAATAAGACACATGCCCCTGTATCTGTACATTGCAGCACTATTCACAGTAGCAAAAACATGGACTCAAACTAGGTGTTCATTAATGGTGTATTGGATAAAGAAAATGTGGTACATATACACCATAGAATACAATACAACCATAAAAATGAACGATATTATATCATTTTCGACAACATGGATAGAGCTGGAGGCCATTACCCTAAGTGAATTAATGCATATTCTCACTTATGAGTGGGAGCGAAACATTGGGTACTTATTGACATAAATATAGGAATAGTAGACAATGGGGACTAGAGGAGTGAGGAAGGGAGGAGCACAAGCGTTGAAAAAACGACTAATAGGTACTATGCTCACTACCTTGGTGATAGGATCGGTCATACTCTAAACCTTAGCATCATGCAATATGCACTTGTAACAAACCTGCACATATAGTCCCTGAATCAAAAGGCTGAAATATTTTTTAAAAAGTAAATAAAAAGAAAAAAATGATAATGACATAATTATTATATTTTATGATCTATAGAGTAGATCCAAACTTGACCAATAACTATTTTTCTTATTAAGACAGTTATTAGGTTTGGGGAAGATAATTATCAATTTGTTCTTTCCCAATATTCTAATATTTTTGTTTTGTGTATTCAAAAGTACCATCCAATTTTAATCATAATTTTAGAACATGTTTACAAATAACTCATATTTATAATAGTGTTATTTTTTGTTTAAGAAAATACATTTTTAAAATCATTTTTTGGCAGCTTTGTGAATGAATGTACATCAAAGATAGCTAGAGAGCATTTCAGAAGAAAGCTTATTCAGCATATGAAGAGAGTCTTAACTTGAAGAAACGATTTCCTTTTAAAATCTGTTTTCTTGTTCTTCTTTTTAACAGATTTGAGTCATACAGTAATTAGCTCCTTTTGTGTTTTACAGGGACATCTTTTCTGTTAGCCAAGTGGCACATTTATTCAAGGGAAAATACTCTCTTCAACAATCAAATCTGTAATACCGCTGTAATGATTTTCCCCTTGCCAATAGTAAAAGTTTTAAATTGCAGACTCAATCCACCCGATCAGAGTTGTCCTTTATTATGAAGGAATAGTTGAGATCTGGGGACAGTAAATGTAGTAGTCTGAATATTCTGAATAGGAAAAGAATATCTTTTGACATTTTGTTATTTTAGAAGTATTTTTGTTCTGTTTTAGCCACATGTCTTCATCTTTCACAGAAGTAAAGTTGAAAAGAGGTGTTTTTTAGTTGTGAGGGTAGAATTCCATATTTCACTTCACCATTAGGATTTTTTGATTTCTTGTGTGACAGTAGGTTCCTGGTTAAGATGTCCTAAATTATATTCTAAATTGTAGATATTTCTGTAAGAATTCAAGTCTTTGGAAAGTAAGCAATGAAAACATCAGAACTGAGTAGGAATGGCTTTTCTTTCCATGACTTTCTTTGCTCTCTGTTAAATTAGCCTGATTCATGTGCCTCATGAGGGAAACCCCATAGAAAAAGGCTTATGATTATCAGAATTTCTAAGAAATTAATAAAGTCACAGTTTGCTCAGTGATTTGAAAGGTGATCCAAAATGAAATGTTAATACTAATGCCCTAAGATAAAATTTTAGGGGATTTTTTTTTTTTTTTACTTAAAGAAAAATCAGTATTGATACACAAGATAAAAGACTATAGGTAAAAATTATTTCTTATTGATGATTATTCAGTTTCCTCCCATATTTTAGAATCAGAAAACTCATTAGAGGGAATAATGAGATTATACAGAAATCTGATCCATATATACTATGTAAATATCAAATTTGTTAAAATTATGAAGATACCTTTGTTTCCTCCACATCAAAAATGTTTGAGTTACATATAAATAGATGCAAAACTAATAATGGCATAAATAATGACATAAATACTCAGTCCCTCTAAAATCTAGCCTCAAAATATGTATTTAAGGCATATAATTTTTTTTTTTTTTTTGGCAAATAACTTTCTAAACATCTTTCAATTGGGATTATTTTGAGCCTGTGTCTCACTTCCTCCCTGCTGGCTTTCTATATTTGCACTTTGTAAAGAGAAAGATTAATAATTGCTAGAAATATTCTAAATCTAAGAAGAGATCTTTTTGGATACTTATATCACTCACTATCTTGATATATTCATATTTTAATAAATACCCATATTTAAATACAGAACTTGAACCAATAAAGTAATTATTTAGCTTTTATTGAAAAAAATGTCACGGTATTTTCGTATATGGCTTTTATGCCAGAGATTGGTCAGAAAGGATCAAATTCATGAATTAGAATGAAGGGGAACCATTTTTCAACATAGAGCCTTATCCCTTAATTTTAGTAACTGAAAGAAGTGAAAGTGCTAGTAAACTCATGATTATTCCTTGATAAATATTAATGACTGAAGTGAAGGCAGATATTTAAAAATTTCATTTAAAAATCAAAAAAAGTAAGAATAATTTACTAGAGACATATAAGACAGACCCTAGTTAATTAATTCACTAATTCATTTTTACATATTTGTTGGTAGGATTTTGCTCCTTGTCTTTTACTTTTAAACACACATTTTTTTTACCTACTCTGTGTATATATATTAAAATACTGATGGTCCTCAACTTATGGTGACTTGACATAGGAATTTTCAAATTTATGATGGATTTATTTATCAGGGTATTGAGTGATTTCAGCCTCCCACGGGTTTATTGGGACATAACCCCATCGCAAGACAAGGAGCACCTGTAAAATGTGTAAATCTATTCACTGTAAGATTACTTAAGTTTTAAAATCCTGAGGCACAACATTTCATAAATAAAAATTTTGTACATCATAGAATGACATAAGCATACTCAGAATCAGGCAAAAATTAAACTATATACTGTGGTTTCTGAAAATTACTATTTTGTCCACCACACATAATCACTTATAGGTTGAATAATTTCTAAAATGCATATGCTTTATACTTTTCAGTAAAGTATTTATAAAGGTATTTGTTTTAATATGTACTTCTTTTTATATAGGACTGGAAGGAAAAGTATATAAACCGTGATTATTCAAAGATTTTCACTGAAAATATAGTTGAACAGGTTTGTATTAATAATGATTACAAAGCATAGAAAATTTTGCTGTTATTTTCCAGAATAAATACTATTAATGCAATACTACTTTCACAGAAGATGTGAAAGTGGAGAAACTATCTTTTAGGTAAAAATTGTATGACTCAATTACTGATTAAATAGCCTTAAGGAACATGCAGTTGTAAAATGTAGAACATAGAAATTAGCATTTTAAGCATGCTCCTAAGTGTTATTCATAGCTTTCTTAAACCACTAAAAATAGGAACCATTCACAGATCTTTCATATAGAACTCTTTCAGTGAAAGCTTTTCTTTGGAAGTATCTGGGCTGTCTTTCTGAAAGAGTCTTTTCAAAGAGACAACTTCAAAAAATGAATTCTCTTTTAGGTTAGTGTTTAAAACTATTGCTAATACCTAATTTTTGAGAATGTAAGATGTCATCAATTCTGAGGTGCACCATTATTTATGTACCACGAGAAAAAAAAATACTGTCAAATCATGACAGAAAACTGTTTCCTAGTCATTTAGGATTTTTTATTTTACACATATTAAAATAGCTATTTAGACCATTAAGACACAGAAGTTATTATGTCTTCTAATGATGATGCATATTTTATAGCCCTGTCCAGATGTCTTTTGGTTCCCCATATTTTCCGAAAAAGCCTGTGATGAATTGGTAGAAGAAATGGAGCATTACGGCAAATGGTCTGGAGGAAAACATCATGTAAGTTGTAATTTCACACTAAGAACTACAATGAGTGTGGGGCTTAGTAGATATTCAGATAATTTGGAGGGGTTGTATACTTTTTCTCATACGTCTCTGAGTTCTAGACCTAAATAAATTGGCTAGCCAAGGCTCTGATTTCATTCTACTTCTGCCACTAACCAGTTGTTTAACACTTAAGTCATTTCATCAGTCTGGGCGGTTTTCTCATTTATGCTTGTAATTACACTGGATGTTCCCTACGGGTCAGTGTCCTCAAGCTGGAGATTGTTAGGTAATATATGTCTTTGCAGAGTGATATGGCTCTTTCCAAGGCCGTTTTTTATTCCTTGCATTTTCACAGTGAGATTGAAAATTCTAAGGCAGACTTTATCTGGCTGTCAAAACTGTGTTTTTGTGTGTAAAATAGGAAAGAGGGATCTGAGTGTCTTCGGTGTAATTCAGTTTTGCATTTGCATTCAGTGTCAAAGACTTGGCAGGAAATACTACTGTCAGTGGTTCCATGTGTTTCTTTTCCTCTAAGAACCAACATGCCATTTTAGCAGAATACTCTGGAATATTACTGCCTCTGCACAATTATGTCCCCCAGGTAATGAGCTGATGAGGGAGAGGGAAACTTAAAGTATAAGGAAGAACTTGAAGTCAGTAGGTGGTGAAATAATGAAAAGCAATCTTTCAGAGATTTTGAGTGTTAGAAGTAAGGAATGGCAGAGAAAGCTTGTTTTCAGTATCTGCTAATACAGAAAGCAGATATGCTGAATGTATGCTCATCAAGTAGCTAAGACTGCCCAAAGGGTCACTGTAAAAAACATTCATGTTTTAGAGGGGATTTGTGGGCTTAGGAAGTATTATTTACTTTATAGTTGAACTTCCATATACATTTACGAAGTAGGAAAGGAGTCTACTGACCTTACATTAGTTTCATCGTTGTATCATTGGCAAAGCTGTACCTAAGTTATTTTGATAGTTTTACAGTTAAACCAGATGGTATACCATATTGGAACAACTGTTATTTTTATTGTCTATTATGATCTGTGGTTGAAAAATATACTGTAATATAAATGGGAATTGCACACGAACTATATCTTACAATGTCATTTGTGTTGTTTCTAGGATAGCCGTATATCTGGTGGTTATGAAAATGTCCCAACTGATGATATCCACATGAAGCAAGTTGATCTGGAGAATGTATGGCTTCATTTTATCCGGGAGTTCATTGCACCAGTTACATTGAAGGTCTTTGCAGGCTATTATACGAAGGTAGTTATCCTCCCACCTCTCCAGCCTATTTCCTACCAATTTTTACACAGATACTATTTTTAATGTTTTCATTAATGAGCAAATCCACTGGCTTACTTTCCTTTTTCAGGGATTTGCACTACTGAATTTTGTAGTAAAATATTCCCCTGAAAGACAGCGTTCTCTTCGCCCTCATCATGATGCTTCTACATTTACCATAAACATTGCACTTAATAATGTTGGAGAAGACTTTCAGGTAATTATGACTCTTGTGTTTTTAGATTTTTCAAAAGAAATATATAATTATGAAAAGGGCTTTGCCATAAGCTTAGTTTCTTTTTAAAATTTTGCTCAAATGACATAATTTGAATTTTGCCACTGGTTAAATATAATAAGCTGATATATTTCTTCATTTAAACCTTTTTAGGGAGGTGGTTGCAAATTTCTAAGGTACAATTGCTCTATTGAATCACCACGAAAAGGCTGGAGCTTCATGCATCCTGGGAGACTCACACATTTGCATGAAGGACTTCCTGTTAAAAATGGAACAAGATACATTGCAGTATCATTTATAGACCCCTAAGTTATTTACTTTTCATTGAATTTAAATTTCTTTTGGATGAATGACTGACATGAACACGTCTTTGAAGTTGTGTCTGAGAAGATGAGAGGAATATTTAAATAACTTCAACAGAACAGCTTCACTTTGGGCAAAACATTTGAAAAACTTTTTATAAAAAATGTTTGATATTTCTTAATATCTGCTCTGAGCCTTAAAACACAGGTTGAAGAAGAAACAAAAGAAAAAAACAGTAAAAGAAAGTATTTATTTCTAAGCTTTTTTGCCTCTGAGAATAATGACAATTTTATGAATATTTGTTTCAAGATGATAAACTATTTAGGTACAAATGACAAGACTAATTATATTTTCTTATTTAAAAAAAAAGCATGGGAAGATTTTTATCAAAATTAGAGGAAATATAGACGAAATGGATATAAATGAAAATTACCATGTTTTAAAACCTTGAAAATCAGCTTCTACCTGTATTTGTATGCAATTAAGTACTTTGAATACCTACAGTAGCTATTACAGGAACACACAACAATTATACAATGTTTTCCTTAAGACAATTAGTACAAAATACAACTGAGGAGCATATACAGTTGAAAACATTTTTGCTTAGATTTTAAAGCAGAATATTTTACATTTGTATTAAAAATCAAACTCTGTGTTTCTCCAGATGAATCTTTCAAAGTGGATTATATTAAGTAGGTATTAGATTTAGGAAAACCTCTCCATGTCTTAAAGTATTATCAAGTGTCAACTTAAGATCAACAAGTGTCCTTAAGTCAAAACAGGCTTTTTTTTTTTTTTCTTTGTTTCCCTTTTTTAGAAAATTCTAGAAAATAGTGAGGAAAAAGAAAAGTTTCATTGAGATGAGTAGTGCATTTATAATTTTTAAAAAAAAACTTTTAAGTACTTGAATTTTATATCAGGAAAATAAAGTCGTTGAGCCTTGCTTCTTCCCTCTTGCCCTTTGTCTCTCTCCTTATTCTTTTTTGGGGGGAAGGTTATTCGCTTTTTTTCTTTTCCTGGCATAATTTCCATTTTATTCTTAGTGTCTATGTTAACTTCCCTCTATCCCACTTATAAAAAAATTCCCCAACAAAAATATTCGTTGTCTTGATGTTTTATCATTTCTCTAAGGTTGAAATATCCTTATTTTAGCTACTGTTTTTAATGTAAAGGTTAAACTTGAAAAGAAGTTCTTAATCATGGTGCCAAAATTCATTTTCTAACACTATGTGTTAGAAAATTATGAAAAATAAAATAATTTTAGAAGGTGTTGTTGTTCTCTTTACTATTGGTGTTTATCTTCAGAAGTGAATGTATGATGGAATAGTCTGAAAGAAAGAAGCCTATGATTTTTCATTTGGCTTAGTAGATTTAAGGATCTATCAAATTACTGAATTATAAATTGAATTACAGAATCTTCAATTTTAGCATGACTAGGAATTTGATCTAACTCATTTTACAAGTGAGAAAATAGAAGTCAAACTTTATTCAATATGAGTGTATTTGTTCATTAATATTTTTTGAGTCTATATTATGGGCCGGGGCACCAAGGATATGGTGATGAAGAAAACATTATAGTCACTGGCAGATGGACTTAAAAAGATAAGAAAGTTGGGTTCTACCCCTGTCTACTTCTTTGGGGACACTTAGTACCCAAAGAAAATTTCTACTATCAGTCAACTAGGTTGAGGAGACATTTTAGTAATGATTTGGAATTATATTACTATACATCAGGAATGTTTTTCAAAATATGTAGTACTGGTAGATGCCAACTCATCAGAACAGCCTCTGGTTATAAAAGCAAGTCAATTCCTACCAGTGCAAGCCAGCTTAATATCCCTTGTGGTACAGTTCAAAGACATCTCTCAGGTACTAGTTATTTTCCATCTTGGTATCTATGGGTGGTTACCTAGCATAACTATTTCAGTCTCTTGCCATGTTTTCAGAAATGGGATCCAGGCAGCTTTTTTCTGTGGTCTTTTTGAGTAGCAAGCTACAGCATTATTTAAGAATAATTATTAAGAAAAAGCCGTTGGGAAGACAAATAGAGAAATATATAAAAAATTTTAATATGAGTTTTGGATTAAATGGGAGAGAAGTACACTAAGAAATAATGAGAAGAGAAAACTGTACATGTAGAAATGCTTTAGAAGTGTGAATTACTACATAACTGAATTATTTTGATAACAAATTAGAATGATTGGGAAGGTAAGTAAACAAGCTAGGGATCTGTGAATTTTATAAGCCTTAAATCTTTCTAATAGCATTTAAAAATGTACTCAACATCATTGTTCATCAGAGAAATGCCAGTCAAAACTACAATGAGATATTATCTCACCCCAGTTAGAATGGCTTGTATCCAAAAGACAGGCAATAACAAATGCTGGAGAGGATGAGGAGAAAAGGGACCTCTCACACACTGCTATTGAGAAAGTAATTAATTGCAATCACTATGTAATTGTACTATGGAGTACAATTTGGAGGTTTCTCAAAAAACTAAAAATATGATCCAGCAATCCCAGTGCTTGGTATATACCCAAAAGAAAGGAAATCAGTATGTAGAAGCAATATCTGCCCTCCCATGTTTGTTGCAGCACTGTTCATAATAGATAAGATTTGGAGACAGCCTAAATGTTCATCAACAGATGTGTGGATGTATTTTTGTTTTATTCTTAATATATTAAAATAGATTAGGAAATGTTCATTTAGTTTTTTCATTCCTGACAAATATTATTGAGGTGGTGATAATGTTTTTTAACTTAATTAATCAAGTGACTGTTTAGTTTAGCATGCTTCACTGTTTTCACTGAAACTCATAAAAATCTGTTTTCTTGAAAATTAGAAATTTGTGCCTGTTTAACAATATAAAACACAAATAATCAACTAAAAATAATTTTATAAGATAAAAATGGATATTTAGAAGGTAAAATGGATGACCCTGAAGTCAATATTAGATTATAAACTACAATTAACGGATGGAGAGGAGAAAAAAATATGTACGTTTTGTTAAAGGTTAATGAACTAGTCTGTGATTAATTATAAAATAATTTTAAAAGACATTATTTTAACACTGATTTAAAGTCACTAAAATCTCTTTGGGATCTTGATGTGAAATGACAGAATAATTCTGCACCTACTGAAGACAATTTTATATATGACAAAGATCAGTAACTGCTAAGTGAGAACTGGACAAATTAAATGATAGTTTTTTCTGCTGGGAATTAATGTTTGGAGAATTGATTAATTTTAAATACTGCATATTTGCAAAAATGAGATTATCCTATTTTACTTTGTTTTATTAGATTATTTTTATTGGTATTTACCTAGTTTATGTATCTTATAAATCTTGCCAAAATGTGACATCAAAGCTCCACCTTGTGGTCAAAATAGTATTTTTCCCAAAGCCTAATACTAATAAAATGATAAATATTGGATGCTTTTATTATTCAGGAATTCTTTTTATATTTTTAGGTATGATACAACATTTTAAAATGAAGAATTGTGACACCTTATTCTGAAATAAGGGGTAGTTAGCATATTTCCAGTTAACACTGATGAAATGATTTGTTTTCTACTTTTATCTAACTTGTAAACTGCTCATCTATGTTCAACAGGGAATATTTACCTGGATTAACAATAAAATAAGCATAAGAGTAGTCAGATTCAACTACAACTTATAAAGTAGTTGGTTTAGAGTAGATAAAATTGCTTAATTTTCATAATATTACAACAACAGTTCCATAGGGTCCTATTGTAAAAACAAAATTTTTAAAATTGCAGTTTGTTAGGGAAAGGTAAACATCATAATTTTTCTTTATTTTCAGCACGGAACTGGTAAGCACAACAATGAGGACAAGAGTCTTGTGGTACTAAAGTTTGGGTGATTCAGACACTGTGAAAGTTATAAGATCAACAAAATTTATTCCTGGTGAAGTTGTGCACTAGAGTAGTTCTAATATATGCCAGCTGTTGCACATTTACTTATTGCCCACACAGTCTTCTTAATCCCCCTTTTCCTCCTTTGGATCACGTAGTGTCTTGGCTGCTGGAAATCAAGGGGATCCTCAGCAAATGCTAGAGTGGCATCATTGATTTTCATACTGTTTCAGGGCAGCTTTCCCATTGACCTTCTATGAGCCAAGAGGAGAAAGAATTTTAAAAATACCTATTTTTGAAATGATTTCGTGCTTGTGATAGCGAGTCAACAAAGATGATTCTCAGTGAACCACGCCTCCTAGTACTCAAATCATTGTGAACCCAGGTGGGTACTCTGTAACCAATAGAATATGGTAGAAGTAACTGCCTAATTCCAAATTGGGTTATAAAAAGCTGTATGGTTTTGATCTCTTGGGACATTTACTGTTAGGGCTTTCTCTGTAGAATCCAGATGCCATGCTGTGCCCATGCCACATGGGAAGGCCATGTGCAAGCACTCTGGCCAGCAGCTGAAACCAAGCTCCCACATCAACTTCTACCACGAGTGAATTATTTGGACATCAGTCCCAGATAAACTTTCAGATGAATATAGCTCTTGTCAACATCTGCCTGCAACGACATGTGAGATGCCTTAGCCAAGAACACCCAGCTGAGCTAAGCAAACCCATACAGAGCTATAAAAGATGATGATAACTTATTAAGTCACTAAGTTTCCACATGGTTTGTTACACAGCAATGAATAACTGAAACAGGATTAATTGCCTACAGTGCATCTCTAATAGGCTTTTTCTTCTCAAAGCACTTTGCATACTGGATTATTTACTTACCTTTCATTCTCCTTAGTAAGGCCCTTGGCTCTTTGAGGGCAAAGACTGGGTCTTATTTCATCTTTTCTAGACTCTAGCATACAGTCTGGCATACAGTAGGTATTTGTGTGTGACTTGGAAGTTAGTTTTATGTCTGATTTTATTGTATTTGAATCAAAATGATATCTGAGGGGGACTAGGTGTTTCGAATTTAAGAGGTAGCAAAAAAAAAAAAAAATCTGTATACTTTAGTTATGTGAAGTAAAGATGTGTGAAAGATTGTACAGTTTGTCCCTGAATAAAGGAATATGTAAGTGGCCTCAAGTTGGATGAGAGATGCACTATGCCATTCTAAAAAGAAACTGCTATCACTGTTATCCTCAGCACTGTGGGCCAAGGGACTGAGAGAAGGAGGGTTCAGCTTATGAGTAATTTGTTTAGCATGTCTATCAGTATGTGCTTACTATGTGTATTTTTACTAAACATTCAGTAAATATTTTGAATTGAATTTGCTTTTATAAATCTTAAAGCAGTTTTCTACAAGGTGCTTTAAAAAGTGTTATTTTACATAGTGATTAAAAACTCTATATTTTGTCCTCTAAACTAGAAAATAGTTCTAAAATAGAAATATGTTAAAACAGTGGATTTTCAAATACCAAGAGAGTGTAGCTTTGATATGTACTGACACTGGAACTAGTGTTGTTACCCCAGTTACAGATTCCATTGCCCTTTGGGTATGGCCTCTCTTGATTTTGACCAAATAGCATTTTAACACCTATTCAGTATGGTCTTACAAATGTGATAAATAATGGAATGAAAACTTTCTAATTTCAGAATTATGGACCTATAGGACTCTCTTAAAAAAATGAATGATTTAGGAAAATTGTAACTGGAGTGATGTCAGAAAAAATAGAACCTCTCTTGAGGTTCTTGTGATGTTGTATTTTTTAATCAATATAGAGATGATATTTTTAATTTTTTAAAATTGGTAAGTGAATTGCCCAATCTGAGACATTTATAAGGTACCAAAGAGCAAATTTAAGTATGTAAAGTAATAAGAATTAAGAGAGAGCAATGAGATTCAGGAGTTATAATAAATCTATATTTCAAAGTAGGTATGTGAAGAATGAACATAAACATGTCTAACTTGCCATTGATTAGAGGGGTTTCATCTGCTAAATTGGGACATTTGTTTTGGCATTAAACTTTCTAATCTATTATTTTTGGAAAGAATATAATCTACACTATATTCCAGACAGTTTCATCCTCCAATAGATTTTCTTGCAAATATTTGATCCAATGTTACACTATTTTTTTAAGTTCTATACTAGAACAAGAATTACAGAACATGTATTTGTCTGTATGATGTAATTAATTTGTATCCTCTCTCAGATATGTTCATAGCCCTGAATCTTAATCTTCATTGATGGTTTACTTTTGTGAGAGTTACATGTATAGCTCACTGAATATACATGGGCCTCTTAGATTTCCTACCCACTAATAGATGGAACTATGGAACTACTTTTGGCCAGTGGCCAATGAATAGAAGTTAGGTGAATTACTGGCAAAGCCACACATTTATGAGCCTATTTTAGAGCCCCTTGAAGCATATGTATTGATATGCCTGGATCTCTGAATCAGTATTTGGAAGTAAGTTGTCCTTAATAGCTGTCAGGACCACAACAGATTTGTGCAAGAGAGAAATAATGTTTCCTATGTTAAGCCACTGTGTTTTCAAAGCTTACAAGATCACTTATTTTAACCTGACTAAAACAAGCATCCCATGTGTGAGAAAAAGATGTAGATTTCATTTGGACAAGATGGATTTAGGTTTATGTTGATTTACAAATAATAAAAATCTAGAGTTATCTTAGGGTTTGTTATTCAATTTGTGTCATCTAACAATAGAATCTGAGGATTGGAAGTAGTCTTAAAAGCTGTATAGTCCAAGGTCTGTCCTACCTCTTCCCTAAACAAATCATCTTTTAAGCTTGCCTGGTTGTTGATCACCCAGACTTTACTTGAAAACTTCATTTAGTGTTCATGGGTATCTGTTACAAGCCCATCAATGTACCTGAAATTATAAACATGATTTAGATATCAACCCTGCATTACAGTCTGGTGACAGGCAATTTACTGCATCCTAACACAGAAACAGCCAAGCCTTTTCATAACTGTAATGAAGACTGTCTTTTGTAACTTCTATGTAAAGTTTAAATGAGTATATTTGGAAATTACATGAAAAACCTAATTATGGGTTTATTAAATATTTAACAGCAGTAATTACAACAGTTGCCTCCCACCTATCACCCCTCTATGCCTCACCTCATTACCTTTTCCACATTTAAAAATACCAGATTCTTCACTAGTCTTTGTATGACCACCCTTGCTGCTCCTCCCAACCGACTGGCTTGCTGATTTTACAAGGTCCTATTTATCAGTATCACTCTCCTCAACACTTGGAATGGTTTATCAATATAGCCATGGAAGGGTGGTGGCCAGATCTGGACTTAATATGCTAGGTATTACAAGGTATAAGTGGTATAGAAACAAAGAGAAGAAACATACTTTGTATTTTTGTTAATAAAATTAAGTATCAAATAACTTTTGGTAAGGGATGGGCATCTGTATTGCACTGCCCATAATTTGCAGTCAGAAAAAATTTGTTTTCCTTCTCATAACAACACTGTTAAGCCATAACTTCAGTTTATAGTACTTACTCTCACATTTTTCTTGAGCCAAGTATAAAATGCTATTAAATTAAATTTTATTGGTTTTCAATTATAGTTTTAGCCTGTTTCAATCTTTGTGAAAGTTGATTCTATCAATCAACATAGTTTAGTCATTCTCTTCCTGGGCTCATGCCACCCAAAAGGATGAGCGAGCTTTCAACATCGACTCTTGATACTTTACGAAACTATTCAGAAAGACCGACCAGAATTCTAATGGCTTGCTCTGTACTCTATACATTTATAATCAAAGGCTGATCACGGCTACAGTATTTTTAAACTTGTTCTGTTTTTCAACAAACAATATACTTACTTGCAATTAAATGAAAATAAGGCATCGATTTCTGAAATTTTAGAGAGCTACCTTAGAAATTAAGTTTTAGTTGTTGTCAGCCTTGGCCTCCTATTAAAATCACCTGGGAACTATTAAAAGCATTTAATGCTGTGACCCTACCTAGACCTATTAAATTCCATTCTCTGGGGGTGAGGCCGGGCCATCAGTTATTTTAAAAGTTCTCCAAATGCTTCTAATGTGAAGAAAAGGTTGGGAGAATCTGATCTAGCTTAGCACTTAAAGGTTATACTGCTTATTTCTACCACTACACAACACTTATATACTGAGTTTACTGCAGTGAATTAATGGAGCTATTTTAAGTGGAAAATGTCTGATCAGTCGTTAAATAGCAGTATAAGTGAAATCTATAACTAAAATTCCTATTTTGAAAGACAAAAAGAAAAACCGACTTCTCTTTGAGGGCATGCTATACCCAGGGACTTGGCTAGTGCTAAGGAGGGCATGGTAGACCTCCTGGGATCACACAAAGAACAAGCAGCTCCTGCTTGGTTTTACCCAATAGCCTGATTCCCCTCAGTCATTCTGTGATGCTAAAGCCTCTCAATTCCTAGGACATGATTTGAGAAATTTCATAAAGTCTCAAGTCGTTCTTTCAGGTTATTTGTGTCAGGGTCTGAACCAAAGACACTGACCCAGTGACAGATGAACAAATTCACTCAAACGTAAATAAATCTCCAGTGAAAGAGTGGGCTGGGGATCCATGGTCACTCACAGACACTCCTGAGAGAGATAGCGGCCATGGCCCTGACCAGCTGGCCCTCTAGGCATTTATTCAGTATGGATTCAATAACAGAGGAAATGAGTCAACACACTTGTGGATTAAAGGCCAGGTTCCAAGGCCTAAAGCAAACATAGTTGTGGGTGATGAACCTGGTCACCTTCCTCCTGAGAGAGCCATCCAGCATGCGGATGATTAAAGGTTAGTTTTAGGACCACAAGTTATTCAGATAAATTCCCCCACATTCCCTAGTTATTTGCTTTTCTTTATCAACTAGGGGATTAGGCTGCCTTCATCCAAAACTTCTGAAACTATGCAAACTTTTCGGCCTTCCTGGAAGGTTTGTGACTAAATTCTATAATTTTATAGTCTTTCCAATCATCCTGACTGAACTCCCACATATTTGTACAATGGGGAAGAAAGTATCTATACCTTAGCCTCTTTCCCATGTCTATGACAGATCACCTGGCCTAGTGCTAAGGAAGGCATGGTAGACCTCCTTAGGTGCTTGAGTATCTTACAGATTGTTCACCTATGGTTGAAAAGCTCTTATCAAAATGCTCTTACTTTTATTGAGCTGATAAAGTTGCCAGCCTAACTTCTATCTATTCGTTCTGGCATTGCCTCCTGGAGGAACACAGACTATGTTGACTGTCTGTTCCATATGTTAGCAATGCAGATATATCATAATTTTCCTAAATCTGCTCTTCCAGAAAAGATTTCAGGCTTTCAAAACCATATAATCATCCTGTCCTTGGTGACTCTGTTTTTCTCCTTTGTCAACATCACATTTCACAATGTGTCACCTGGAATAGCAGAACAACCTGGCTATAAGAGTGGTTCTGATTTGATCTGGTCATTGTATTTCTAGAAACGAGGCCCAAGATTTTATCAGTTTTTACCAGGTCATACCACGTTGTCTTAAAATATCAATGATTTTCAAACCAGGCTGCACATTAAAATCACTTGGAAGAGCTTTGAAAAATATACCTATGTCATTTGCTGTCAATGGTGATACAAGTTCCCTTGTATCAATATGATATAATTATGTCATCAGGGTATAATGATGATACCCTGTTCTACCCTTGCCAATTAAATCAATCTCTGGGGGTAAGGCCCAGGTATAGTGATTTTTAAAAGTATTTCAGTGATTCTAATGTGCATCTAAATGAGTTACATTCTTAAATGTGGTTTCTCTCAACTTGTAGGGAAATATAATTTGTTGTTGTTTGAATGTAAATATCAGGCTTTTGATCTGTTCTAGTTTAATTTTCTGACAATAGTAGCCCCAGAATTTTCAAATATAATTCTTGAAGATTATAACAAGTTAGATTAGTGTTTATGTCCATAAAATGTTTAGAAAAGTTTGAAAAGGGCTTTGAAAAAGTAAAGATTAATTTAGTGTTAATATTTCTAATATTGTTGGGTTTATGCATAATATAATTTGGTTAAGATGTATCATAAATAAAAGTATTTTAAGATTACACTGTGAACTTGTATCATCATTGATAGCAAATGACATAGCTCATAAGCATGGGATCCAAAATTGGTTTTGCAAATTTAAGGATTTTCCAAGTAAAACAAATTTTAATGCTATGCTCATTGGTTCTCTTTTTATTTAAAACATTGGGTTTTAAGACATAACCAAAATAAACTACTTTTTATTCCTTTGACTTTAGATACATTTCAGCTGTTAAAAGGAGTGTTGTTTCATACAGCCTGACAGAGGACTTTCAGTTCTCTCACATCTGAAATTCATCAAGGATTGAATAAGAGTTATCTGGAAAAACTGCAATGATTTAAATTTGTGACCCTGGGTCATTTGGCAAAGGCATTTTTTTCCCCAAAGTTGTTAAGATTGCCTGAGTATTGCAGTATAGTGACCCTGGGTCATTTGGCAAAGGCATTTTTTTCCCCAAAGTTGTTAAGATTGCCTGAGTATTGCAGTATAGTGAATAGAATTTTGTAAAAATCAATGTTATTAGCCATTTACATAAAAGGCAAGTAGCAAACTTTGTGGTATCCCCCATTATTCTTGAAATATTGCATGCATTGTTGGTGAGCTCATGAGGTACAATTCTAAAGACACTGGTTCCTAGGCTAAAGTATCATACATTGATATTTTTACTGTCTGTCACACTCGAATTAGAGATCATCCAAAGGAATAATGTAAAAATCATTAAAATGAAGACAAGAAAGGTCAGATAACATTGACACAATGCAGTGAGAGGCTTATTGTAATTGCACACACATGCAAAAAGTATCATTAAGCTCTTTTGATGCCAGTTCAAAAGAAACACAATGGGCTCCTTATATTGTCATAAAGGCATTCCTCTCAGTTAACCTTTATCTTTTCTATGTATACACTGGAACTTCCCTAAGATCTTCAGTCTTGCTTTCAACTCTGACTTCTAATCTTATCTGTGCTTAAGGGCCTCAAGTGTGTCAAGTAACAAGTTAACACTGATGCTTGCCTTGCTTTGGCTTTTTTCTTTCAAATTTGTTAACATCTGTTTTGAGCCAATGGATAAACTATGTACTCCACTTACTAAAACTGAATTTGTTTTGTTTCTTTTGTTGGAACATCTTCCTAGATATCTTGATTCTCATAGCTGTTACCATAAGACTGAGGTCCTACTAGGGATTAGAGGTCAATTTTTGCTTTGTGAAGATTTCCGTTAGCCTTTGACATGCACAAGATTACATAACAAACCACCCCCAAACACAATGCTTTAACATGCTGATAATTAATCTTATTGAACTGTGGGTTAGTTAGGTTTAGTTTAGTGGGATTTTCCCCACTACACATCTCTCATCTCCTTCCCAGGCCAAGTGGGCTAACTCCAGCAATGTTTTCCTTGTGGCAACCTCAAAGGTAAAAGAGGGCAAATGGAAACATACAAGGCCTCTTAAGGTCTAGGCTTGCAACTGGCACATGATCACTTCTACTTTATTCTTTTGCAAGACAACTTATATAGCTGAACCTAAATTGAGTGATAGAGAAATACACTTGTAGATACTAGGAGAAACCACAAAATCATATGGCAGAAAATATTGCACCTGGGAATGTTGTTGGAGGATATAAAGTGTTATTTAAATACATTAAAATTTGATTCCAATCTAAAAATTAATGTGTTAATGTATTTCCAAATTACCATTGTGACATCTAACAGTAAAATGATTTTTCCATTACCAATTTCTTTCTTTCAAGAAACACTTGGGGGCCCAGTCAGAAGAGTATTTACCTTATAAAACTCACATAATCTTGGGCAATTCACTTAAGATTTTTTTTCTCAGCAAAACTTTCCTTTCTTTGGTGTACAGTTTTATAATTGTAACATTAAGGTAGCTTTGTATAACAGTCCATATAATCACAATATAAACAGCCAAATCACAGCAAACAATTGTTTTGTTGTCCCTTTGTAGTTAAAACTTCCCCTTCCTCATAACGCCAACTAAGCTGTTCTCCTTCTATATAGTTTTGCGTTTTCTAGATTGGCATATAAAAGGAATCATACAGTATGTAAGCTTTTGAGAATGCTTCTTTTACTCAATGTAACACCTTTGGGAATCAACAGTGCTGTTGTATGGATAATTCTTTCCTTTTTATTACAGAGTAGTAATCCATTACATGGGTAAATTACATATTTAATCCATTTACCTACTAAAAGACATTTGAGTTGGTTCCAGTTTTGAGCAACTACAAACAAAACTTTTAGAAACATTCATGTACATGTTTATTGTGACTTATTGAAGTGACTGTATCACTCCTAGCTATCTACTTCAGTAGATAAATCTACTTTAGTAGAAAATCTATTTTCAAAATAGATTTTCATTACACTAAATTAGATAGCTAGGAGTGATATAGTATCCTATGGTAAGTAGCTTCGGTGTTTCATTCCACTGTTTGTACCTTTTTTGGATTATTCAAATGTTTTAAGAATTCCATTTTATCTGTTAGGCTTTTGAATATCTTTTTGTATATCTTCCCAGTGGGAAGAGATTACAATATATATACTTGACTTTTCACAGTTTACCTTGAATTAATATCCCCTTCATGTTTTAAATGTAATACTTATTAACTCTGTATATTGAACAACCCTCCAAAATGTTACAATTTTTGCTTTTAACAATTATACAACTTTTGAAAATTTAGGAATAAAACAGCCTATAATATTCATGTGACTGTTACCACTTGTGTTGCTCTTCCTTCAAGTTTCCCTTCCACCTGAAAAATGTTTTGCATTTCTTTCATAGCAGATTTGCTGGTGATGAATTTTATTAATTTTCATTCATCTAAGACCATCTTTATTTCATCTTTGGTTTTCGTTGTTGCTATTGTTTTAATTTTTGTGGGGACATAGTAGATGTATATATTTATGGGATGTGAAATATTTTTGATAGAGACATACAATGTGTAATAAATAATCACATCAGGATAAATGGAGTATCCATCACCTTGAACATTTATCCTTTATTTGTGTTACAAACCAATTATACTCTTAGTGATTTTAAAGTGCACAAATTTGTGTAAATTTTTGTTGACTACAGTCATGCTGTTGTGCTATAAAACACTAGATCTTATTTATTGTATCTATCTATATTTTTGTTCCCATCGACCACCTCCCTGAGCCCCATGACCCTTCCCAGCCTCTGGTAACCATTATTATACTCCTTGTCTGTGAATACAATTGTTGTAATTTTTAACTTCTACAAATAAATTAGAATATGTGAAGTTTGTCTTTTTGTCTATGGCTTATTTCACTTACCATAATTACTTATACTTCCATCTATATTGTTGCAAATGACAGGATCTCATTCTTTTTTATGGCTGAATAGTATTCTATTGTGTGTATATTTACCACATTTTCTTTATCCATTCTTCTGTTGATGGACACTTAGGTTACTTCCAAATCTTGGCTGTTGTGAATAGTGATGCAATAAATGTGGGAGTGCAGATATTGTTCAATATACTGATTTCTTTTCTTGAGTATATTTCTCGTAGTGGGATGGCTGGATCATATGGTAGCTTTATTTTTAGGTTTTGAGGAACCTCCAAACTCTTCTGTATAATGGTTGTACTAATTTGCATTTCTACCAACAGTGTATAAGTGTTCTCTTTTCTCCACATCCTCACCAGCATTTTGTTATTGCCTATCTTTTGGATAAAAGCCATTTTAATGGAGGTGAGATGATAGCTTATTGTAGATTTGATTTGCATTTTTCTGATGATCAGTGATGCTGAACACTTTTTCATATTCCTTTTTGCTATTTGTATGTCTTAAGAAATGTCTATTCAGATCTTTTGCACATTTCGAAATCAGATTATATTATTTTCTGTTCATTTGTTTGATTTCATTATATAACTGGTTATTAATCCCTTGTCAGATAAATTGCTCACAAATATTTTCTCCGATTTTGTGTGTTATTTCTTCCCTTCGTTGATGTTCTCTTTCCTGTGTAAAAGCATTTTAACTTTGTGATCCCATTTGTCCATTTTTGCTTTGACTACCTATGCTTGTGAAATATTACTTAAGAAATATTTGCCCAGCTCAGTGTCCTGGAGAGTTTTCCAAATGTTTCCTTGTCATATTTTCATAGTCCAAGATCTTAGGTTAAAGTATTTCATCCATTTTGATTTGTTATATATGGCAAGAAATAAGGGTCTATTTTCATCTGCATATGGAAATCCAGTTTTCCCAGTACCATTTATAGAAGATACTGCTCTTCCCCAACTTATGTTCTTAGCACCTTTGTTGGAAATGAGCTTATTGTAGATGTATGGATTTATTTCTGGGTTATCTGTTCTGTTGGTCTATATATCCATTTATATGACACTACCATGCTGTTTGGTTACTATAGCTCTGTATTGTAACTTGAAGAAAAGTGATGTGTTTCCTCCAGTTTTGTACTTTTTGCTCAGGATAGTTTTGGCTATTCTGGATCTTTTGTGGTTCTGTGTAAATTTTAATATATATATATATATATATATATATATATTCTGTAAAGAATGTTACTAGTATTTGATCAGGGATTACATTGAATCTGTAGATTGTTTTGGGTAGTACAAGAATTTTAACAATATTGATTGTTCAAACCCATGAACATGGAAACATTTTCCATTTTTTGATGTCCTCTTCAATTTCTTTCATCAATATTTTATAGTTTTCATAATAAAGATATTTTACTTCTTTTATTTCTAGTATTTTATCTTATTTTTAGCTATTGCAAATTGGATTACTTTATTTCTTTTTCAGATTGTTTACTGTTGGTACATAGAAATGCTACTGATTTTTGTATGTTGATTTTGTATCCTGCAACTTTACTGAATTTGTTTATCAGTTCCAGTAGGTTTTGGTCGAGATTTTAAGTTTTTCCAAATGTAAGATCATATCATTAGCAAATAAGGATAATTTGACTTTTCCTTTCCATTTTGGGTACCCTTTATTTTTTATCTTTATTTGTGAATGAATGTTATTTTT